GAAACTTTCATGTTGAATGTTCATTCTTTTGTGCAGTAAATCATCTTTTGGGAAAAAAAAAAAAAAAACTTTGTTCATACTTTCTGGGTGGGGGGGGGGGGGAACAATTTAATTTGGGTTTACATTTTTTTCTTATGGGGAAAATTGATTCGAAAATGTCCTTTTCGATAATAGTCCACTTCCAGGAAGGGATTATGGACGATTATTGAGGGACCCTGTATAGTTATCGAGTATCCATACCATCCATATTTTTTTAATATTTTGCCCCCTTGCTAGTTTTAGTGACTACACGTGTGATGTCACTGATGCCGCATTGAGGCTGCGCCCCCGGTTTCCTTCTCACCCCCACCCATGGGTCTACACAAAGCAACACGACAAGGCTGGGTTTCCCCTTTTCACACTTACTAATATAAGTGTTACCATCCAACAAGTGTGTTTAACTCCAAAAATCACATCTCCCAACCCCCCCAACAGGGGGAGAGGAGTTTGTTTTGAGGGGGGACAGATACTCCTTCAATATGACGCTAAACAACCATGGCTTATTTACTATACAACTGATCTAACTCATAATAAACAAATAAATAACATAAAAACCTGATTTACACTCTAAAATAAAAAAATATGTCATTACATACGGAAAATGGTGGGGGGGGGGGGGGGGGGGTGTTTTTTGGGTTTCAGGGTCCTGGGGGGCTAAGACGTACATACACTGGAGTGGTGGGGATGGGAGGCGGTGTTGTCAGGGCCCAACATACCCCCAATAACTTTGGGAGGATTTAATTTTGTGTTCTTTTTTCTATCGTTTATTGCTTAACTTCTTGCAACATGTTAATACACACTTTTCGCGGGCGGGGCACTATAGCCTTCACTGACTCCTGCTGCTTTAGTATTATACATATCGTAGAATCACTGAAGAAGTCACATTCTCCCCTCTCTCTTCCTCCTCCACTTTCATACTTTGATACAATTTCTTTCTTCAATTCTATCATGTTTCTCACTTTCTTTACCATAGGTCTGGCACTAGGGAGTTTCTTTGGGCCCATGGTGGCTTATTTCACAGTCACACTAAATAAACAAGAACAAAAACCAACGGATTTTAAAGAAATGTTTGGGGGAATCTCAGAGTATATGCTCATTCACTGATAGACACAGGGAAACTGACTCACCAAAGCACGGTGTCCCTGTGGAAGAGGTTAGCTAACGAGTCTAATACGATCAACTTACAAGGCACCGGCCAAAATACGAGCAAAATTTCCGCCCCCAAAAAACCCCGGCCCTAAATACAAATCACCAATAAAAAAGGGGCCCCAAAAATGGGGGTTCCCACGTACTATAGCCCCAGTATTCAGTATATCAAATTAATTTAATTAGGATGAACAAGCACATCACATACGCATTAGAGAAAATTTGTCAGATGCTGCTTTTTGGAATGAGGAAAACAAGCTTTACGTTCATCCCGAATGCATAGGAACGGCCCGAGGGGCCCCCACCACATTAAACACATTCCATCAATCGCCATTGTTTTCACGAGTGACTGTCCCCCCCACGTGTTCATACAATACTTTTCCCAAATTTTTCCATTCTTTTTAGTGCCTGCAACTGCTAAATAAGCCACCATGAGCACAAAGAAAGTTCCTATCCCACCCAGCCCTTTGATAAAGGGGGGCAGAGAAGGGGGAATGTGCCTTTTTTCAGTGTTTTGCGATATGTAATATAAAGCAAGGGCGAGAAGGGATACCCAGCCAGCGATAAAGTGTAGCATTTAAACCCTTTTACGTTTTAGGCCCCCTCTGAAACTGTCTTCTAGCCCAAATATTCAAAAAAAAAAAAAAAATTTTTTTTTTCTTATGAAAATGTTAGATTTTTTTCTGGTGTTTTTGTCCCAAAAAAAAATTTTTGGGCCCCGGGGCTTTCCGAGTATAAGCCGTGAAGTTTTGCAGAAAATGACCACGGGCAACGCGGGTGCCCCTCCCCCGTTTTAGTTTTGAATTGGTTTTTTTTTTTTACTTTTATTTTTTAATAATTTATTGGTTGAGAAAATAAGGTGCAATGTATATAATCCTCTTTATAAAAAATAATAAAAATAATTATAATATATTGTTTAAAAAAAAACAAAAAAAAAAAAAAAATATCCCATATTCATCTATATATCATTATAAATTATATAAATTTATATCATTTATATTTCCCATCATATACCCCATATACCCCATATATACATAAATTATAATATTTATTATCATTATTATTTATTCAAAAACCTCCCACACACCCTCCTATCCTCCTCCTCAAACTCCTCCTCCTCTTCTCTCCTCCTCCTCATCTCTCCCACCCCCCCCCCCCTCCCCTCTCCCCCTCTCACACCTCCCCCCTCTTCTCCCCTCTCTCATCATATCTCATCCTCTCTCCTCCTATCATCATATCATCCTCCCCCTCTCCTCCTCCTCCTCCTCCCCCTCCCCCCCTCCTCCTCCTTCCTCCTCCCCTCCTCCTCCTCCTCCTCCTCCTCCCCCTCCTCCCCCCTCCTCCCTCCTCCTCCTCCCCTCCCCCTCCTCCTCCTCCTCCTCCCCTCCTCCTCCTCCTCCTCCCCCTCCCCCTCCCCCCCCTCCTCCTCCCCTCCTCCTCCTCCTCCCCTCCTTCCTCCTCCTCCCCTCCTCCTCCTTTCCTCCTCCTCCCCCTCCTCCTCCTCCTCCTTCCCCCCCTCCCCCCCTCCTCCTCCTCCTCCTCCCCCCTCCTCCTCCTCCCTTTCCCCCTCCTCCTCCTCCTCCTCCTCCCCCTCCTCCCCTTCCTCCTCCTCCTCCTCCTCCTCCTCCTCCCCCTCCTCCCTCCCCCCTCCCCCTCCTCCTCCTCCTCCCCCCCTCCTCCTCCTCCTCTCCTCCTCCTCCTCCTCCCCCCCCCTCCTTCCTCCTCCTCCTCCCCTCCCCTCCTCCTCTCCTCCTCCTCCTCCTCCTCCTCCTCCTCCTCCTCCTCCTCCTCCTCCCTCCTCCCCCTCCTCCTCCTCCTCCCCCTCCTCCTCCTTTCCCCCTCCTCCTCCCCCCCTCCTCCTCCTCCTCCTCCTCCCCTCCTCCTCCTCCCTTCCTCCTCCCCCTCCCCTCCTCCTCCTCCCCTCCTCCCCCTCCTCCCCCCCCTCCTCCTCCTCCTCCTCCTCCCCCCCCCCCTCCTCCTCCTCCTTCCCCCCCCTTTTCCTCCCCCTCCTCCTCCCCTTCCCCTTTTCCCCCTCCTCCTCCTCCCCCTCCTCCTCCTCCTCCTCCTCCCTCCTCCTCCTCCTCCTTCTTTTGGGGGTTTCTTTTTTTTTCCTCCCTTCCTTTTCATTCTCCCCTCCCCTTCCTTCTCTCTTTTCCCCTCCTCCTTTTCTTTTCTTTTCCCCCCCTCTTCTTTCCCTTCTCTCTTTTTTTCTTTCCTATCTTGTTACAGGCAAAAAAAACAAGTTCGAGTGTAAATTACAATTTCCCAAGAAATCCAGAAAAAAGTGTTCTTCTCTTAAATTTATTTAAACCCCATAACGTCTTGTGGCTTTTTCTCTGAACAGAGAGCTAGATGGGACAGACAGGGGCTTGCAGAAATAGACGAGACAAAGTTTTGTTCTAGCAAAAACAAAAGGGCATGGCAGAATAACCCTTTTACGCCACAAAGTCAGCTCTTTTTCTTTACTCCCTTATCTTTCACTGTCATGGGGGGCTTTTTTTTTTCTTGCTTCAAGGGGAAAAATATTATTACATCTTCTTTTTCCCCTCCTCCCCCTCCCCTTCTCCTCCTCCTCCTCCCCTCTTCCTTTCCCCCCCCCCTCCTCCTCCTCTTCCTCCCCTCCTCCCCCTCAATTGCTTTTGGTCTCAAACTCCTCCAAATCATGAAATTGATCTTCACTGACACTTCCATCTGTGTTAGAGCATCACTTGGGAAGAGAAGAGTCCCAGATTTGCTGGGGAATCACATATTTCTTACCGCTAGACATGCTGAAAAAGGACAACTGAAATGGCATTCCCACAATGCACCACTGGCTCCCCGATTTTTTTATATGGTGCACACTGACCATGGAGACCCATTCTCTCACATGTGGGCCTACCAGCTTTCTCCTGCTTGATTTGAAGCTGCTAGAATTTATGTGTATAAATACGTCAGAAACATTGGCTCGTAAGACGTATTTATGTCGGAAACAGTCAAAGGGTTAACAGTGTAGCAAGTAAGTTAATCGATTAATCGATAGAAAAAGGACAGCAGGAAACTGACTCCTCCAATGTTGTTGGAGTTATATAGGACGATTAACAACACCGCCGTCTCTGTTGCCGCCATCACCACCACTATGTAAGGCGGCTTATCTTTCAGTGGCCCTTATACACCCAACAACAAACACCACCACTCATTGCATACATAATGACATACTTTATTCACTCTACAGTACATATCATGTTTGTATGTTATTAGTATTGTTTATTATGTCATATTAGATGAACTGTGCTAGATAAATAAGCTGTAGAGCTGATATTAGTATCACATTAAAGGACTATCTTATCCCGACTCCAAACACACTCCCCTGCCACCGCCACAATTCCTAACATACGCCAGAAACAGACCTCTCTGGAACACTTTTTTGAGCGACAGGAGTCCAGTGACTCTCAAGCTGGTCCTAGTGGCATTAAAAAACAAAGAAGGGAAGTAACCCTGGAAAAGGACTTGGTACCTGAAGTCTTTATGGAAGGGAATTCCCCTTCCAAACAGTAATTTCTCCATCCTCTCATCTCCTCCCGTCTTCAATACACTAAAAAGAATCTTCAATAAAGGAAAGTGTCATATTATTGTTTCATTCTTCATGTCTCTTTGTTTTCTGTGTAGGTAAATGTATATTTTATGCAAAAAAAAAAAAATTTTAATACTTTTGGGTGTCTGGAAGAGATTAATTGGATTTACATTATTTCTTATGGGGAAAATAAATTCGGAAATTGTCAAATTCAGCTTTAGTCACACTCTCTGGAATGGATTAATTACGATAACCCGGGGCTCACTGTATCATAAACTCCTGAGTAGGAATGAGATAAGAAACCAAAATTTTTATCACTGTGAAAAGTTTCAGTCACATCTTAATACAACACACAATAATCACATGAAGAACATTAATCTTATTTATCCAAGTAAGACAACTGGTTTATAATAATTACTCACCTAAGCGTTTGAAGGCACTTGGATGTTTACAGAGTGAAAATATTCTCAAAAGAATCGATTTCAAGTTTAAGGAAACTGGGTCCTTTCGAGACTGTTTATGAGACCACTTGACAAACTCTGCCAGGCACTGGGCACTTACATCTCTCAAGGCTGGGTTGTTTGCTCTCACAATACCTTCCTGAAATGTACACGCATATTTTTTACAAATATCAATGCTAATATTATGGGTGATGATATTAAGCAGCTGCAAGACACACTACTTAAGAGGACTGGTAAATGGTTATACTCTTCTATAATAATGTAATTAATTCTTTTAAGCAAGTCAGTACTAGTCAAAAAAGGGTTATACAATTACATCAGTGAATGTCAACACAAATGACTGGATTAATATGAACGAAAATTGAGAATTAATATAACTGATGTAGCAGATTACTTTAACCCCTACAGGGTCCAATGCCAAAATCTGAAGTGGTGCTCCAGTGTCCAAGAAATTTGTGGAGAAAAAAAAAAAAAAAAAAAAAAAAAAAAAAACTTACAGAATTAAAGATAATATTTTTGTGAAGGCAATAAAACAAAAAAATTTTTTTTGATCAGTACTTACTGAGATACAGCAGTGGGAAGTTGACCCAAAATGACCGGGTGGCTGCAACATCAGTGACTTCCGCAAAATCCCATTTTTTTATTTTACGTTTTTTATATTTGTTTAATTTCTTTTCTAATTTTTTTTCTTTTTCTAATAACTTTTGTGGCCTGTGAGACCAATATAATGTATATTGTATAAGTGTACACTCATTGTATTCAACACAATAACTGCACTAATTTCTTTATCATTATATTGCTTACAAAACTTGTTTACAAGTTTATTGTAAACAAAATTATGAAAATATTAGTGCAGTTGTTGTGTTGAATACAATGGTACCATATAGTGCCATATGGTACAATGGTGCCATAGGGTGCAATTGTACCATATGGTACAATGGCACATGATACAATGGTACCATATGGTACAATGGCACATGATACAATGGTACCATATGATACAGTGGTAATATATGGTACAATGGCACCATATGGTACAATGGCAACATATGGTACAATGGCACTATATGGTACAATGGCAACATATGGTACAATGGCACCATATGGTACAATGGTGCCATATGGTACAATGGCACCATATGGTGCAATGGTACCTTATGGTGTAATGGTACCATATGGTACCATATGATGCAATGGTACCATATGGTACATTGTACCATACAGTACAATGATACCATATGGTTCATTGTACCATATGGTACTGCTGTATTCAGCACAATAAAGACACTAATATTTTCATTATTATTTTGTTTACAAAAGTTGTTTACAACAAAAATATGCAAAAATGTTGTATATTAGTAATTTTCTATTATATATTTACAAGCGTACAGGAACTTGACGTATTCCTTGAGGTGGATGATGAAGCACTTTGTCGCGGAAGGAAACTGTGGAGTCAGTAGCTAGCTTGCGTCGCCACTCACTCAGTCTTGGATGGAGTCTCATGCCACCAACACCTATTAACCATATGGTACACGGTATCATATGTTACAGGGTACCATATGGTACTATATGGTATAGGGTACCGTGCAGTACAGGATAACATATGGTGCAGGGTACCATATAGTACAGGGTACCATATGGTACAGGGTACCATACAGTACAGGACACCATATGGTACAGATACAGGGATAACTATGGAAATAAGTCACCCTGACTTTTTTGGGTTATCCTAGGATTTTATACATGTGCTGCTATGTATGATAATCTATGTAATTGTATTTCTGTACACCTGAATAAACTTATTCAAGTGCATGTGGCATCATAAGTAAATTTATTTAGTTACACACAAATAAAGTTACATAGAATATCATACTTAGCAGCATATGTTCGGAGAACCTAGGATAACCCAAAAAAGTCAGAGAGATTTATTTCCATTAGGGTCCCTGTACCCTGTACCATATGGTATAATGTACCATATGGTATAATGTACTATATGGTACATTGTACCATATGGTACCACTCAACCATATGATACCATTGTATGACATGCACCATTGTACCATATGGTACCATTGTACCATATGGCACAATGGTACCATATGGTTCAAAACCATAGAATTCATCTTCAGCTCCACTTCCATCAGTCTTAGAACTGTAAGTTGTGAAGAGGAGAGTCAGAATTCGCCCGGAGAGTGAGTGGGGAGTGAGAGTTTCCTTGCCGCCATTTTTTTTCTATGGTGTGCACACTGACCACCCAGACCCATTCTCTCAGATGTAGGCCTACCAGCCTTCTCGCGCTAAATTTGACACCGCTAAAATTTTGGCATAGATCTACAGTTTGGACACTGAAAGGGTTAACAGACTGATGGAGAGAATTAGACTGAGCAAACTATCAGCTCAATGAAAACATGAAAAAATAAACCACTGTACAATAAGTATAAAATCTTATTAAATGTATGAGGAGTCATACAGGTGTTAAGGCTAGATGTTGGCCGCATGTTAACGAACTTTTTTTTATGGACCGATTACGTTCATTTTTGGTGTACTATTAGGAGGTTATATCGAATATGCTGTGCTGAAGTTTCAATCATATCGGCCAAAAAGGAAATGAAATATGCAAAATTTACGAAAAATTGCATTTGGCAGGGCACAGTTTGTCAGTGGTACTCGGACAAGTGGTTTTGACACTTGCTGCTGCTAGAACAACTCTAATTCCATCACTTGTCGATGAGAATTCTAAAATAAACCTTATCTTCTTGCTAAAAAAAAATAAAGTTTCATAACTTTTTTGATATATTGGAAGATGTCGGCCTTGTTGTCCACATAAATCTAAAAATATTTTGGATAGTTCGGAAACACGAACGCTACCCCGTAAAACAATCATTCTCCCATGTTTGTTGTGAGAAATAAAGTCAATTCAATCATAAATAAAGCTGGTGATCCCCTAAATAGGTAAATAAGTTACTTTCGAGATATAGGCCGCAGCGCGCGGCACCCCCGCTGCCCGGGAAAAAATTTTTTCCCCGAAAAATTCGCTTTATTTTACACTTTTTCCGCGGCCTACGAGTGTTTATTACAGTTAATCATTGTAAATCCGTTTTCTCTCATCACTGATGAGAGAGGGCGGACCCTCTCTTCACCTTCAGGGGAAATATCGATAGAAATTTATTCCTCGGGGCGTCATATTATGCTATATATTTTTTTTGAGGTGTACTTTTTATGTTTATATGCTATTATTATATTGCATTATATCATAATAGATCAATTGTGATAGATAAATAAGCCTTATAATTGATATTAGCGTGGGTATGGAATATTTTGTTGGCTGGAGGTGTCGGCCATTTTATGCACTATTCCCAGGGGTTCCCGATTGGTTCCTTGATCACATTATCTCCGCCCACTCTGGCATGATCTCAGATGGTGAATTTGTATTATATTAGACATAAAGATGTACGAAAACGATAAAAATAACACGGGGAAAAACGCAACAAAAACGTCAACAAAGCTGAGTCAGCGCTTCTTACGCGACATGTTGCGTCAGCGCTGTCACCATGCCTGTTATAAATGGCTGTAATTCCTTTTAGAAACATCGTACAAGGATAATAATTATACCAGCGTGTAGCCAGAAAGTTCAGCTATTTTTTGGTAACAATAACTCAGTTTTCATATATTTTCGAATTTTTTTTTGCTCCGCGCGCGGGAACCCTCAATCGGTCCTTAAGATTTGAATTAGCTGAATTACCAGATCAATCAGATTGTTATGGTTATATTATAAGAGCCAACATGACAACAAAGTCAACAGGAAAGACAGGCCTCAGGTTGATCACTGAGAACAGAAAAATCCTTGAAATCATTCACTGGTGTAGATTTGTTTACAATGATTTAAATATCAAATGTACTAAAACTGCACAATGAAAAACATGCAGATATTAATACATTCCTTCACAAACTATTCATACTAATACTACAATGAATGACTGCTACGTATACTAAAAGTACTGTATATGGCACACAAGAAAAGCTATTAAGAAAGGTTACAGCATTTGCAGAGATATCTGACTACTGAATATCCATAAATTGTTCCATTCACTTATTAGTATACAGTACTAAACAACTTTTACAGAAGCCTTTCTAAGGTGATAGCCAGTTAATTATTGATAGTTACTATTAAGTTGAGACTGTTGAAGTCAAGTTAGGTACTCATGATATTTTCTACTAATTTAAGGAGTTATTACACAAAGGCTAGGAATCTGCAGCATGATGTGGAGAAAGATCTTCTCTAGATAACAACAGGCCCAACACTGTGAAAATAAAACACTAAAAATTACAGCCTCTCCATTCCTGAGACTATGTTCGTAAACGAATTCATCCCTAAGTGAGAAGCATACTATAATGGTAGTGGGTTTGTGTCATTCATCTTTGATATTGTTTTAATGTCACCTTTGCACCATTTATAACATTTCGGGTATATTTTTAAAAGTTTATACAGTAGTGTACTGAATATTGTAATAAACAGAACAGAAGAAATCAGCTCTAATATACTATATTATTTAAGTATGCATAGTGGTCAGAAAGCCTGTCGTAAGTCCGAGTCGTCGGTAAACGAGTACGTCACTAAATGAGGAGAGGCTGTAGTGGAAAAATGAGAGTCTTGGTGGAAGTGGTAAGGTGACACCAACAAGTTGTGAGTAAAAGAAAAGTTATGAGTTGATCATGACAGTTATTAAGAAAATGTTTCACAACTGGTTTCTGCAGTCCTAATACAAAGACAAATAAGAAATGTGAATAAACAGTGACAGGAGTCAGGTGGCAAGCTGTGAGCAGGAGGAGGAGGCAATGCCAACAGCAGCAGCAGTAGCAGAAGATGGAGTACTCATCAACAGTGGAGTAACATATTAACCCTTTGACTGTCGCGGTCATATATATACGTCTTACGAGGTACCATGTTTGACGTATATATACTCATAAATTCTAATGACTTCAAATCAAGCAGGAGAAAGCTGGTAGGCCCACATGTGAGAGAATGGGTCTGTGGTCAGTGTGCACCATATAAAAAAAATCCTGGAACACGCAGTGCATAAAGAGAAAAAAAAAAAACTGACCATTTTTTTAATTAAAATGCCAAATTTGTGGTATATTTTCATATAGTATTTATGGTTGTATTCTCTTTTTCCTGGTCTCGTTTGATAGAATGGAAAACATATTATAGAAATAGAGGTGATTTTGATTGATTTTACTATAAAAAGAACCTGGAAATGGAGCTCAAATAGGGGAAATGTTTGATTTTTGCCGATGTTCAAAAGTAAACAAATGATGTCATTGTCCAATAAATGTCCAACTAGCCATTCTAATATGCAGTCATGAATCGGTTGACATTATTTATACAATTATTACAGTATTGCAGTAGTCTGCAATACTGTCTATTTTGAATAAAAATTCAAAATAGAAAGCAAGAGTAATATCAGAGGTGCCTGGAGACATGACTGCTAAACAAAGAAAATGTTATTTTAGAGCCAGGAATGTCTGCATTGTTCTGGACCTTATTTTGAAATTGTCATATTTTTTAATTTTCGTGAAACTGGCCAAATTGCAAATTTCTGACCTCGTTATTGGGTAGTTGAAATCGGTAAATGGGCAGCTTCTTGTACTCAATTGATAGAAAAAACGGAGTTCTAAAGAAATAGCTTTGAGTTTGGTTGACTGGAACAATGGAATTAGCCGAAAATAGGGCTCAAAGTGGGCGAAATCACCGATTTGTAAATATTGCCGAGGTCGCTAACTTCGCGAAAGCGTAATTCCGTCAGTTTTCCATCAAATTTTGTATTTTTTGGTGTCATTACAATCGGGAAAAGATTCTCTATCATTTCATAAGAAACAATCTTTTTTTTTGAAATTTTGCAACACCAGGAGACACCTCGGGACTGGGGGTTCCAACAGTCAAAGGGTTAAAGGCATTTGTTTTTTTAACCCTTTCAGGGTCCAAGGCCCAAATCTGGAGTCACGCACCAGTGTCCAAGAATTTAAAAAAAAAAAATTTGTTATTTTTTCTTATGAAATCGTAGAGAATCTTTTTGTGAAGGTAATAAAACAAAAAGTACGAAATTTGGTGGAAAATTGACGAAATTATGCTCTCGCGAATTTTGATGTGTCAGCGATATTTACGAATCGGCGATTTTGCCGACTTTGACTCCCATTTTAGGCCAATTACATTATTCCAATCAACCAAATTCTTAGCTATTTCACTAGTATTACTTCTATTCTATCGATTGAGCACAAGAAATCGCCAAGTCAACTGTTTCAACTACAAAATAAAGTGATCGGAAATTGTTAATTTGGCCAATTTAACACAAAGTTCAAAATATTCCAATTTCAAAATAGGGTCCAGAATAAACAATGTAGGTATTCCTGGCACTAAACTAACATTTCCTCTGTTCATTAGTTATGTTTTGAGGCTTTACAAATAAATTCCGTTTTGATTTTTTATTCACATAATGAATTTTTATTCACACCAAAAAATAGAAGATTTACTGTTATGCATTACTGTAATAATTGTATAAATATCATCACCATATTTGTGAATGTATATTAGACCCACCAGCTGACGTGTATTAGACGTGGGAGGTCGTTTGTTTACTCTTGAATATCGGCAAAAATTTAACATTTCCGCAACTTTGAGCTCAGTTTCAAGCCATTTCCAGTGCTAAAATCAATCAAAATCATCTCTATTTCTGTAATATGTCTTCCATTCTATCAAATGAGACCAAGAAATCGCAAATACAACTATAAAAAACATACGAAAAAACACTGCAAAGTTGCTGTTTTAATCGAAAAATCATGATTTCAGTTTTTTTCTCTCATTATACACAGTGTGCTGCAGGATCTGTTTTATGTGGTGCACACATACCACATAGATGTATTCTCTCATATCTAGGCCCAAATGTACCACTCACAGTTTATCAGAGTGAGCTGAGCTCATGGCGTAGATCTACGGTTTGGACACTCACCATAAAGCCGTAGATCTACGGGACGGACCCTGAAAGGGTTAACACACCAGCTATCTGCCACCAAGATAGGGTGACCCAACAGAGAAGAAACACTTTCACCATTACACACTCCATTGTCTTGCCAGAGGAGTGCCAATACTATTGAAGTTCAGATGCACCATCCTTCAATGTGCAGTTACTGTACTTCCCATCTCCAGGACTTGAGTCTGAGTAACCAGTTTCCCTGAATCACTTCGATAAATTAGACACATGTGCAACACTTGGGAATCTTTATTAAGAAAACGTTTCACCACACAGTGGCTTCATCAGTCCATAACAAAGGAGAACAGGGAAGAACAGGAGGAGTTTGAGGTAATCAGTCCCTCAGCCTTGAGCGATGTGGTCAGTCCATCAATCTTGAAAAGAATACAGCATATGTGCGAAGAAGTAGCCTGGTGGCCTGGTGGTTAACGCTCTCGCTTCACACGGCGAGGGCCTGGGTTCGATTCCCAGCCAGAGTAGAAACATTGGACGTGTTTCTTTCAACCTGTTGTCTATGTTCCCCATCAGTAAAATGGGTACCTGGGTGTTAGTCGACTGGTGTGGGTCGCATCCTGGGACACTGACCTAAGGAGGCCTGGTCACAGACCGGGCCGCGGGGGCGTTGACCCCCGGAACTCTCTCCAGGTAAACTCCAGGTAAACACACACCAAAAATAAAAAAAAATTGTTTATTACTATTGTTCTATAATATATACAGACATATAGAGTCAGTGGACATGTCCCTAGAAGTGCTGGAGCTCGTGGAACTTTTCGAAACATGGTGTTTTACACATTCCTGTTTCACATTCCTCACACAAAAAATGAGTCTCTGTGTTTTGTTGGCGGGTTGTTGTGGTTGTGCAGGTTGTTGTGATTGTGCAGGTTGAAAGTTAAGACACATGTGCAACATCTGGTTATCTTTATTGTAGATGTTTCACCATCTAGTGGCTTTATCAATACAGATTCTACGACATAATTAGAAGACAGTAGAATTATATACAAAAGATGAGGTAATCAGTCCCTCAGCCTTGGAGTTGGTAGCACCATGGTGGTAGAGATTCTGAAGCAAAGACAAGGAGACTGGCGTTTATATAGGTGCCTATATAAGCGTTAGTCTCCTTGCCTTTGCTTCAGAATCTCTGCCACCATGGTGCTACCACTCCAAGGCTGAGGGACTGATTACCTCATCTTTTATATATAGTTCTGTCTTCTAATTAGGTCCTAGAATCTGTACTGATAAAGCCACTGGATGGTGAAACATCTACAATAAAGATTACCAGATGTTGCACATGTGTCTTAACTTTCATCTTGTCGGTATTTTATACCTTTCTTGCACAAATTGTTCAGGTTGTTGTGATTGTGTAGGTTGTTGTGGTTGTGAAGGCTATTGTGGTGTGTGGGTGGTAGAATGAAGCTGGCCTTATGGATGTGCTGAGTCATGTATGCTGGCTACCAACCTGGAAGTAAGTCACTGTCTAACTTATTTGGGTTATTCTAGGTTGACGGTCGTCTGAGCATCTTTCCTTCCTTCCTTACTTCTTTCTTTCTTCCTTCCTTCCTTCCTTCTGGTTTCCTGGGCATTGCTTTCGGTCACAAACTCCTCAAAACCATGAAATTCATCTTCACTGATGCTTCCAACTGTGTTAGAGCATCACTTGGGAAGAGAAGAGTCTCAGATATTTCTTACTGCTAGGCATGCTGAACAAGGACTACTGAAATGGCACTTCCACAATGCACCACTAGCTCCCTGATCTTTCTTTATACTGTGCACAATGACCATGGAGACCCATTCTCTCACATGTGGGTCTACCAGCTTTCTCCTGTTTGATCTGAAGCCGCTAGAAATTTGGCATATTAATATGTCAAAAATACTGGCTCATAAGATGTATATATATGACCGAAACAGTCAAAGGGTTAAAGGATACCCAGCATCAAGACTTACCATGATGGCATCCAGGAGGACCACAGTATCAGGGTTCTCAAAGTTCTTATTATTAGTGAACCAGTGAATAGTCTGGTAGGCAAGTGTGAGGAACAACTGCCGAGTAACTTGGTCTGGGTCACATGCCAGCTGCAACATGGCCTCAAACACGTGCCGGTACAGTGGAGCCATGGGGTACCTCGCCTGAATATCTGTATGTTGCTGAGCTCCTGCAACAAGAAATGATAATCTTAAAGTAAAAACATTACTTTTCCAAATGTTACCTAATAATAATGTTGAGAATGATAGCAACTATTTGTCAAATCAGATATTTATTCAGCATTTAAACAAGAGATAACCTGTAGCCATAATTGAAGTGTTATTTTGAACACAGAAAAAGAGGTGAACATGAGTTTGTGTGACTCATTGAATGACTGAATGACTGAACTGACTGACTGACTGAGTTGGCTTACTGAGTGACTTGACTGATTTACTGAGTGATTTGACTGACTTACTGAGTGACCTGACCGACTTATTGAGTGACTTGACTGACTTGCTGAGTGACATGACTGACTTACTGAGTGACTTGACTGACTGGCTGGATGACTTGACTGACTTACTGAATGACTTGAGTGACCTGACTTGCTGAATGACTTGACTGACTTATTGAGTGACTTGACTGACTTATTGAGTGACTTGATTGTAATAATATTATATTATTATTGCTGAGAAGAAAAAGAGAATGATTTCCATGGAATTAAAGCATGAAATCATAAACAAACAAGTGAGGTGTCCAGGTTTTGGGTTGAGGGGGAAGAGGGAGGGGGGGGGGAGCTGGCTCGTAACTCATATGTTGGCTCGTAACTCGGAGCAAAACATGAACCCAGGGACGGCTCATATCTCAAAAAACTCCTAAGTTGGGACACTCATAAGTCAAGGTTCCACTGTATTTGGAGTGCTAGCAGCAATAAAACGTAAATCAATGTTTGGACAGTTAAAGGGTTAACCCTTTCAGGGACTAAGGCCAAAATCTTAAATGGTGCCCCAGTGTCCAAGAAATTTTGAGAAAAAAAAAATATTTTTTTTCTTACAGAATTACAGATAATATTTTTGTGAAGGTAATAAAACAAAAAAAAAATTCTGATCAGTACTTACTGAGATACAGTGGCGTGAAGTTGACCCAAAATGACCGGGTGGCGGCAACATCAGTGACTTCCACAAAATCACATTTTTTTTATTTTACGTTTTTTATACATTTTTCTTACCTTTTCTAATTTTTTTTCTTTTTTTTTTTAGCAACAAATGTGGCCTGTGAGCCCAATATAAAATATATTGTATAAGTGTACACTCATTGTATTCAACACAATAACTGCACTAATTTATCATTATATTACTTACTAAACTTGTTTACAACAAACTTATAAACAAAATGATGAAAATATTAGTGCGGTAATTGTGTCGAATACAACGGTACCATATAGTACCATATTGTACAATGTTGCCATATGGTGCAATGGTACCATATGGTGCAATGGTACCATATGGTGCAATGGTACCATATGGTACATTGTACCATACAGTACAATGATACCATATGGTTCATTGTACCATATGGTACTGTAGTATTCAACACAATAAACACACATATGTTTTCATCATTATTTTGTTTACAATAATTGTTTACAACAAAAATATGCAAAAATGTTGTATATTAGTAATGATCTATTATATATTTAAAAATGTACAGGAACTCGACATGTTCCTTGAGGTGGATGACAAAGCGCTTTGTCTTGGAAACTGCCGAGTCATTAGCTAGCTTGCATCGTCACTCAGTCTTGGCTGGTGCCTGGTGCCACCAACACCACTTACTGACCATATGGTACACAGTATCATATGTTACAGGGTACCATATGGTACATTGTACTATATGTATAGGGTACTATACAGAACAGGATACCATATGGCACAGGGTACCATATGGCACAGGGTACCATATGGCACAGGGTACCATATGGCACAGGGTACCATATAGTACAGGGTACCATACAGTACAGGACACCAAATGGTACAGATACAAGGATCCCTATGGAAATAAGTCACCCTGACTTCTTTGGGTTATCCTAGGATTTTATACATATGATGCTATGTATAATAATCCATGTAACTGTATTTTTGTATACCTGAATAAACTTACTCATGCGCATGTGGCATCGTAAGTTTATTTAGGTATACACAAATAAAGTTACATAGAATATCATACTTAACAGCACATGTTTGGAGAACCTAGGATAACCCAAAAAAGTCATACAGACTTACTTGCATTAGGGTCCCTGTACCCTGTACCATATGGTATAATGTACCATATGGTATAATGTACCATATGGTACAATGTACCATATGGTACAATGTACCATATAGTACAATGTACCATATGGCACATTGTACCATATGATACCATTGTATGACATGGCACCATTGTACCATTTGGTACAATGGTACCACATGGTTCAAAACCATAGAATTCCTCTTCAGCTCCACTTCCATCAGTCTTAAAACTCTAAGTTGTGAAGAGGAGAGTCACAATTCGCCTGGAGAGTGAGTGGGGAGTGAGAGAAATTGGTCGATCCCTTTCTGACAAGCTTAGGGAGCACAAAAATAGTGTTAGGCTTGCCGACACTAACAATGCTCTTTTCTGTCACGTCAGAGATCATAGCCATCCTATTGACTGGTCTTCTGCTAAAACTGTCTTCCCTACTTCCAACTCGAACAGTCGCCGTCTAGTTGAATCCTCTCTAATACACAACTTTCCTTGTATGAACCTTAGCCCTGGCTTCGTCTCTGTAGATGCCTTCCTCTCCCGCTACATTATAAAATGCTCCAAAATTCAGAACACCCGTGACTTAACCTGACTCCTCATTTTTTCTTTTTCTTTTTCTTCCTCTCCCTCTTCCCCTTTCCTCTTTCCTTTTCTCCTCTGGGTTGTCTTTCTCTCTTCTGTCTCGTGTTTCTGTTCCTTCTTCATTTATTTCACCACTTCCCCTTTCACGCACCTCTGTGCGCTTGCTCTCTCTCAGTGGGCACCTAGCTCTCTTGCAGTGCTCCCCTTCCTTTGTATTTGACTGGCTCGTCCTCCTTATTTCCCACTTCTACCACTACTACTACCTCTTCTACTACTACTACTACAACTACTGATGAAATTAAGACACATGTGCGACGTCTGGCTGTCTTTGTTGTGGATGTTTCGCCATCCAGTGGCTGGCTGGATGGCGAAATGTCTGCGATAGGGATGCCCGGGTGTTGCGCGGGTCTTAATTTCATCTTGTCGGTATTATATACTATTCTTGTACTACTACTACGACTACTACTACTACTACCACCACCTCTTCCTGCCTATATATAGCCGTCCTGCTCCACTTCTGGTTAGTGTGACTCTGTCAATGGTCCAAGCCGGACCGAAACGTCGTTGTAAGCTTCTCTCTTTTATGTGCGGGTTATTTGTGTATCGTTCCAGTCACGGTATTGTGCATTTTTTTGTTATTAGCATCACAAGTATCATCCAATGTACGACCTGCTTGACATACGACCACTCGTACTTATGACCGTACATCTGGCGGTATATATAGTAGTAAAATATTTAGTAGAAAGTAACATATAACACTATGTAGGTACTTTGTATACCAAAGGTTTGACATTATGGCCTACCCCGTGTGTTGGCAATTTTCTAAGGTTCAACTTGCATGCATTTTGACTTACAACTGATTGGTCGGAATGAAACTCAGTCGTAAGTCGGATGGTACAGTGGACCCTCGAATAATGGCATTAATCCGTTCCAGAGAGCTTGCCTTTAACCGATTTTGCCATTAGCCAAATTAATTTTCCAGTTAAGAAATAATGGAAATCAAATTACACATCTCCCTCAACATTCGCGTTTTCAACTTTCGCGGGCTTCACACATTCGCGAATTCCCAACCGCCAAATTCCCAGCCGCCAAATCATATTTAAGTTTCCCGCCACCCACAAGTCCCTACTACCCTCCCTCCGACCCCCAAAACTGGCAGCCAGCCCTCCACACCACTCAGTGTGGTGAGTGTTTTGTTTGTTCATTATTTGCTATTAAACTACAATATAAATAATGTCAACCATTCATGACTGAATATTGGAATGGCTATTCGGACAGGTATTGGACGGTGTCATCATATGTTTACTCTTGAACACAGCAAAGAATTAAACATTTCTGCTACTGCTACTGCTAATAATAATAATAATAATAATAATAATAATAATAATAATAATAATAATAATAATAAGATAGAATTTAAGGAAATTGTACAAAAATACGAGGGTTGAAGCAGTGGTGGAAGAAGTGATTGACACATCGTCAGTGTGGCTTTGTTTATGCTGGAGTGAGCATTAGTCTCCACACACTTCCAAACATTTCACAATAATTCATTGTGTTTGGTGCTTGTAGATTGAGTGGGACTGGAGTGGTAGAGGCAGTGGTAGAGGTAGTGGTAGAGGCAGTGGTTGAGGCAGCGGTTGAGGCAGCGGTTGAGGCAGTGGTAGAGGCAGTGGTATTTAATAAGATATATGTTATTAATAATAATAATACATGTTATTATTAATAACTTATTATTATTATTATTATTATTATTAACATGTTATTAAATACCACTCCCTCAACCACTGCCTCAACCGCTACCTCTACCACTGCCTCTACCACTGCCTCAACCACTGCCTCAACCACTGCCTCTACCACTGCCTCAACCACTGCCTCTACCACTGCCTCTACCACTGCCTCTACCACTGCCTCTACCACTGCCTCTACCACTGCCTCAATCACTGCCTCAACAACTGCCTATGCCTCTACCACTGCCTCAACCACTCCCTCAACTGCTACCTCTACCACTGCCTCAACCACTGCCTCAACCATTATCTCTACCACTGCCTCTACCACTGCCTCTGCCTCTACCACTGTCTCAACCACTGCCTCAACCACTGTCTCAACCATTGTCTCTACCACTTCCTCAACCACTGCCTCTACCAATGCCTCTACCACTGCCTCTACCACTCCAGTCGCACTCAATCTACAAGTACCAAACACAATGAATTGTGAAATGTTTGGAAGAGCGTGGAGACTAATGCTCACTCCAGCATAAATAAAGCCATACTGACAATGTGTCAACCACTTCTTCCACCACTGCTTCAACCCTCGTATTTTTGTACTATTTCC